AAGTTTGGACCTTCTGACGACCACAAAGGCGGATGTGACCTGACACACCTGGGGGCGTTAAACGATAGATCTGCTTTGTCAAGTTCTACAATGACGACCTTTGATGCGGTATTGCTATTAACGGGTTGTAACGTGGGACGTGTCGAGATTACTTTAAGCAACACCTTTGAAGTTTTCTACCTCAGCAGGCATAACTTGAATCGATCACAGACCCCATTGAGTATCTAGTTCACATTTGGTGACTTTGAGAACTATCCTACTGTCCTACACATTTAATCTCAATCATATCCGTTCCGAGACGCCCAAGCTTCCAAAAGACATTTTCGACCAGACTATCGATTCTGTAAGGACTCAGAGCCCACAGCTACCCTTAATTAGGACTGCACGGTTCCAGGTAGTCAAAATGAACAACACAAATCGGCTTTAGACTGAAATTTAGGTTTGCTAACTTGGACTCACGACAATTGCTACGGACTCACAAATGCCGCATGTTAAGGCCTTTAAATAGTGTCCGAAAGACAAGCTTTACTGTCATCAACCACCTATTTGGACCATTTATGCAATCGGCTACAAAAACACTAATATACAACTCCTATCTAGAAAGACGAGAAATATTTCATGAAAGTGGAAGGCATCAGCGAAGTAGAGCAACTACACTGCTTTGGCTTTCAGTCTCCCAGCGTTCCTGGAGGTCGCGTAGAGGCACGCACTTTCGTCGCTTAGGTCTCTGTAACTGAGTTCCATCCTTTGTAAGGGAAGTGAGCGATAATGCCATTAAAGCATTATTGCGTCTACGCTGGAGGAGAGATGAGCGTTGGATGACCCGCACAACCTCCGAGCCAGACCCTCGTGTATGCAACTGCAGGTGGCCTTTTAACTTTTGCTATAAAAAGGCACAATGGACAAAATACGACAAGAAACAACAGCCTAAACATTTAAAACTATTTACCTTTGCTGGAACAATAGGCGTCTGAGAAAGCAATAGACGCCCAAAAATGCCCGAATTTTACTGTGCACCACAAAATCGTACTGACCTTAATGCTACTAGAACACCAAAGCTACCCAAACCAACGCCCCATCAAACACCAATGCAGCTGTTAGCAAATGCAGACCATGGAAGCAAGACCAAGTGTCTAGTCATTTGAACTTCATCGCGACGCAACCAACCAACGACATCGTTACGTTCCACAGCATCGGTACTTCCAGACCTCCTACTTCCGTACATTGGCGGAAATAATTTACGGGTCGCAGACTTATTTCCACGGTACTGAAGGAGGCAGGTAAACCGCTGCATAGCTGACAATACAAGTACTGCAACAGCCCATAGCACCATTAAAATTATCGGAATCTAATAATAAAAAGTAATGAGTTGCTGCAAAGCATTCGCTTAAAGTAGTATTCTCCATCTTAAGCTGATATGCTAGCACTCAGTATCGAAGTGTGGACAAATTCTAGTTTCGAGAAGGTGTCTACTGTAGCGAAGCATAAAAATAAGGTTAAATTGCTCACCAATCTAACTCTTACACCATCTACTAGACTGCTTTCAGTCAGAGCCTAAAACGGTTGTAAACGGACTTGACGAAATTCGGAAAAATCCAATGGCGCACACAATACATAATTTAGATACCGTTCACTTGACAATAGTGATATTCTGAAAGCAACTCCTTTAGCAATTTAAACGGGAGTGCTTAAGTCTTAAAAAGGTCCCGCAATACCAACCATTTTGTTAAATGATGCGAAATAAAAACATAATTCTCGCCAATTAAAAATAGCAACAGAATTGAAAACTAGCCTACCTTAGTAGACAGAATCGCCGGACAGGAAGAATAGGTACATGGAAAACGCCGAACCTCACTGCTGTGAACGGTGCGAGTATGTGCCACGAGACCTCGCTTTGACGTGAAAGCCACGGGAGTTGGCAACAAGGACGAACAGTCAGTGCACAGGAATTTCCGCCTCTCTTCCATTGGCGTATGACTCAACTCGTGCTCAAGCAAGTGGGCGCGGCGAGAAAAATGACGATGGCAGATTTTGCAGATGAACTCTGTGAATCAATAGTCGAATGACTACGATACCTTTAAGAAGCAGGAGAAAAACTGATTGGCTCACTTTGACTAGAATGTTGTTTCGAGATATGTTTCCTAAGTTCGATAAAGTTTTCAAATCGCTCAATGCGATCTGTAAGAACACCGGAGGAAGAAGCACTGACAGAGTCATTGACACCTTCAGAAAGTTTGATGCCCGCCAATATGTTTTCACATATATGGCACCTTAGGTTATGGTGTCGTTTTTGATGACGCTCTAGCTTTGAGTTCGTTGTGAAGGCAGCATCACATTGGCCACATTTAAACCTTCGGTCCCTAGGAGGGAGAGGCGATTGGCGCCAATAAGAAATTTAAAACCTACCCATGAACAATCGCCATATGTGCCCAAACAGACTTTTTCTTAGAAAAATGCCCGAGTGTGCACTTCGGACAACTGTATTCAACACTGTCATGTGACTTTTTTAAGGGACCTTTGCTTTCACGTAGAGTGGTGGGAGTACCAGGGCACGTATTGGCATGCCTAGTAAGATGCTGGCGACGTATGTAACTTCGCCCGCAAGGGCACTTAAAAGGACGCTAAAGTAAAATCTTAAAATCTCAGGAGAAATCGAAGCGATGTACATAAAACCATATTTCTTGAATAACAAGTGCTTAATGGAGCTAGAGATAAACCGAGTATATTAGTGCAGTACACAAACCTTGCAAGAAGTAAGCTTTCGGAAAAGAGCTTCGCATTAAGATACAATTATAACTGGCCTAAGAAAATTTGAAATAGCTAAACAAAAGTCCCTTATCAGTTGCGATATAGCTAGGTTCTCGTACTAAGTCTTCTTTCAATACCAAAGATGCCGCAGATAAAGACAGCAATTAATATCAGTTATAATGAGAATAAAGCAATAAATAAGCAAGCAGTGTGGTAAGAATTAAAAATAGTATGAATTGACAAATTACCTCTCCGGTATGTATGCGCTGATGGATAACTAATCGTGAAGGCCGATTGAAAGATGCACCACAGATATCACAGACGTGTCCCATTGACGATAAGAAACGAAACAGAAAACCTAATCGAGTGAATTGAAAAAAAACTGATACAGCGTTAATCCACGAGACGACCTCAGTACACACCACCCAAGGACAACTAAGGGCGATGACTGAGAGCCAGCCAATCAACAGCCAACAATGGATGGAATTAAACAAATTGACATGTGATTTAAACATGTTTTATTTTCACTAGCGCTAAGCCTGGAAGCCATCATTCCTATTTAGCGTCACTCGCTATAAAACAAATAAATAAACGGGTCATGCAAGTCTGCCATGGAGTGGGGAGAGCATCTAAGCAAAAGTTTCAATGCTTGAACATGGACTAATATGTACAAATTCTCATCACTTCAATTTAGTATTTAGAATAGTTATGTTAAAGTCGCTAGATGTTGTAATTTGAAAAGAAAGGGCGATACACTTACCTTCCGCCTCGACGTAACAAATGAAAGATGGTTGTAAATGGTTAGTAGCAGTAACAATGTAAGCACCGCTTGCGACATGCTTACAAATTCTTATTTTTTTGCCCAAAATGTTGCAATTGTTCAGACCCAGGTTTTATCACGGTCCCATTTCAAATCACAAAAAGTGCAATAAGCATGTGCTCGGTTTCTTGCTGTGATGCTCAAATTTCTATGGAATATTTGTCAGTAGCTCAAAGTTTTTGATGACCTCGGGAATTTTTCTGCTGTTGAGTGAGCGGAAATTTGTACTGATTCGTTTTGCTAACTCAAGGTAACACCGGCTACTTCAGAGTTGTACACCAGTTATGCGGCGCTAGGGTTGTTTGCGGTACTGTAGTTGCAGTGATCTTTTCTTGTACTGCCTTATTTTTATAGCTTAGATACCAGCTTGCAACTCCTTATGGTTTTTGAGCTCGACAATTTGTAGTTTTTATGTCCCATTTACGCTGTCTTTCGGAATCATGCACATTGATGTATTATAACTGGTCATTAATTGGTTAATCTTTCCATTTCTTCCATCATAGGGTATATTTTTATGGTTTATCTTTGAATTTGCTTTTCAATAATTTTTATCAACTTATGTTATAGTTCTTCAGAAAATTGTGTTATTGTGTTGTTATACATGTCTGAGCATTGATTTTGCCTTCATTAGTTCGAAGAACTTTTCCATCAGAGCATTTACTCACAAGTTTCCTATTTATCGGACTTCATATAACTTTTTTACCACCTGTCTCGGGTCTCCCAGTCACTCGATTTTGCGTCTTCGTTGTTATCCCACACTTAATTTGGATCAATGCCTCTGATCTCGGCTCGTGTTCCTGAGGAAAATCAGCTGAAGGCTGTTTCACAGTTGGATGAATCGAAATCATGGGATTCAAATATCTATGAAGTGCTTCTCTCTGCCGCCTCTTCCGAAAGATCGGTACCTTTTCCTATCGAAGGTGGTTCTGACTCCGGACTTTTTTGTACCGTCGGTGGTGCCGTTAATCCAGGTCAACTAATCTACCATCCAATTATATCCTCCTCTTCCATTTCTTCCAAAAGGACACCCTCGATTCTCCGACCTGGAGATGTGATTCTAGAAATTGGAGAATACCAAATCTCTGGATTTACACGTCTGGACGCTATTAGACTCTGTGAAGCCCTCTTCCATGCTAATTCAAGTGCGGAGCGACCTCGCATTCTCCTAAAGCTGATCTCACCCTCTGCACTTCCTACCGGATGTGCACAACTTAATCGTTTTCTTTCGGCTCAATTTCAAATTGGGACACCCGAATTTCTCTTACAGGAGGTTATCCGGAACAATATTTATCAGCGTGTTGTTCCATGTAGGTGCTTCCCAAAATATGGTGAAGTTCGCCAGAATACGATGTTCTACTGTGTCTAGAAGGCTTCGTCCTCTCGCTGCAACTCCTTTTTTGGATTGGTTTCCACTAGAATCGATCCACTATAGATAGCATTTATTTTGTTGAGTGGCTATTCTAATTCCTCTTTTGTACTCTCAATGAATTTGTCTGTCAGTTAGAGATGGGTGCTGGTTTTTACTGACGAAGTTATGATCTCAAAGCGCATAACTACAGGACACTTAGACTTGATGCTTTAGTTATTATTTCAACTGAAATAGCCAGTGCATTCGTTCGTTTCAGGTACAACACGAGAACCGAGACCAGAAGAGAAGGATGGCGTGGACTATCAATTTCTTGGAGTAGAGCGTTTTTTGGCTTTGGAGAAGTCTGGTCAGCTTCTTGAAAGTGGGATGTACAAAGGTGCAGATCAATTCTCAGATGTCCATTTACCAGCTTTACCATTCTTCATTCTTTTACTCAATCATGGTCTGTATACATCTAGCCTAACTTCAAGAAAGTTTTTAAGGTCCTAATCACCATTTCTAGCGGACTAAGTTTGCACCGTCCTTGGAGTCTTTACAGATTATCAAATTTGTACGCTGTAGCTGAGCTCAGCTTTCCCATACATTGAAGCTTTTTCCTTTACCCACTTGTCCGCATATTTGAACTCTCCTGGTGGCATTTAGGCTTTTGTCCATCTACCAAATATGCAAGATTCTGCACCTTCCTTGCTAACCGTTGTCCAGTGAATTCGCGGTGAAAGCTGTTTTACAATTGTTCTGTCCAGTTGCATGATAATCTTTTTATGATAGAACACCGAAATATATCCATTTTTTCTTGAAACACATGAATCAGGCAATGTTATCAGGCATTTTAATGTATAACGCCGCCATAAGATGACTGTTTTTTTGGCGCGTGTTGGCTCTAGGGAACCACTATGGTACTCCACGACCAGATCCAAATGCTACGGCTCTTCACGTGGAAACGAGACTGAAGGACGATGGCTGCGGCGATCACCCCGCCTCGGAATCCAGTGAGGAGCGTTCCGCCACTTCTCTGGAGCTGACCTGTGCGGCGGAGGTGAATTCATCTGTTCACATCTTGGATTATCCCTTTCCCCAATTTTAGCATTTTGCGAGTGGCTACATTTGGTCGTTCGCCGTTCATTCAAGCATAGTGCTCGTGTTCATTCCTCTGCCTAACTTTTGGGGGATTAAGGTAGGACAGGGCTACTTTCTTTTGGGATTTGTGTGGTGGTATCACATAGCTCCAACTGTTGGCGTCAGTTTCTTGGTAACTTTTCATGGTAATATTATCATTAAGCCTTTTTTATGCCTTTTTTTATCGAGGATGAGTCGTCTTCGCTGAACCCCTAAGCACATATTTGCATGTTCTCCATGACTATAATATGTATCGAAACCCATACTTGGTTCGAGATCGGAAAGTTTCGCAATATTCTGGCACTATAATTCTCTCACTCAATTTCTAGAATTCGCTGGGACAACAACAACAGCGAGATCTGAGTTCTATAGTACTGCCAAACGGCTGGGAGGTGATTGACCATCCAGAATACGGACTATTCTACGTGGACCACATCCATCAGAAGACGCAGTACGAGCCTCCTACAGAGGCGGATTTTGAAGAGGCAGCACGTCTTCATGCGGCGAGCAGTTCCACCCCTTCTATCACTTCCTCCGACAATATCAGTAGCATCAGTAAAAATGAGCATCAGAAGCACCACACTTCGTCCTCCGAAACTTCTGACAAATTTACCGATGATTCCGCGCAGGTTCGGGGTCCCTTGGTCACAGCGGTCCTAGTTAAGGGATCCAAGGGCTTTGGGTTTACAATTATTGGAGGGTCCAGTCCCGGTAAACCCGGATTTCTACAGGTGCGTGGTATCTTTGACCGCCTGTCTTGCATCCGGGTTACTGCCTTATTCTCTTTTTTTGTTGCGAAACTTGACAACTCCCATTTTTATGGGTTAATAGTGAACGGAGTTATTTTCCGGAAACATTGGTAAGGGTTGGGTTTTGGCAGTCTAGAAACATTGGGGTCACAATCATCGGTCTGTCCTGCTTTGGGAGTCTACCTTGGCGATTCCACCTGGCCTGCTTCTGAAATTGCTTGAAGGAAAGAAGGAAGAGTATTATAATGTAAATTTAGGGTTTATTGATGATCCAATAACCTGCTTTACAGATTTGTTCACCTAGCGATTGTTGGTGTCCATTGTAAATCTCTTAAATGGTTAGATTTATGCGTAGTAAACGTACTGATCATGATCAGTTTCTGCATCAAACAAAGACAATCTTTTCATCTTTACCTGAATCTCGTCCTTCCTGCGCATTGTAGTTACGTGTGGAACCACTAAAGTCTTTAGACATGGAACAGCGTGAGTTCCTCACATTTTAGTTGTTTATTACCATCTAGGTGGTAATGTCATGCAAGATATGCTTGCTACTCATCACTTTTGTATAAAATGTGCATAAAATTCGTGTGAAATCCATCCCTCTCTCTCTATTCTTCCTAATTTGAAGTCTGGTTGCTGTGCTTTTTCATAATAGCAAAGCAGTTTGCCTTGATTTCGGCAGCAGCTTAAGGGGATCAGTATGTGTTTTGGGATATATTTTGCCTTTTAATTTTGTCTATATGCTTCACCATCTATTCAAGTAATTGCTTCAAAAGACATGTACGAAATGTTTGATCATGCAAATAGATATCATTGTGGTTGTTTAGGTTCCCTGAAAGACTAGAAGCTCTAGTTGAGTAACGGCGAACAAGCTGAAGACCTGTTGTAAATCTGGAAACTTAGCAAAGCCTTCCAAGTCCGAAGAAACTATCAGCTTAAAAGGTGTGGTAGGCGATTAACATCAGCAATACCATTTCATTGCAGTGAAGCCTGGACCCTGCAAACCTGAGAAGGTCTGTGTTGTCAGGTGGGAACATAATTCAGTTCCACGTTCCCCCTGTTAGCTTATGTTTCAGCCATAAAGCAGTAGTCGAGTTGATCAAAATCACCCACGAATTAGAGAAAAGGTGAATTTCGAGTCTCATGGTAGTTCAAATCACAAAATGCATTATATAGGCTGAAAGCAATGCACGCAGAGTGGCATCTCGCTGTAAGGCTGGTCAGTAGTGTAAGAGCCTGGTTCAATGTTACTTGATTCAGGTGAAGAACGTGATACCAGGTGGACCGGCAGCACAAGAGGGTACTCTGGCAGTGGGTAATGTTCTCGTTTCTGCAAACGGCATCAATGTCCTTGGCTTCTCCCACGACCAAATTGTGGCTCTCTTCCAATCAATCCCCGTCGGTGGTACTGTTACTCTCACCGTCAGTCAGGGCTATTCTCTCATTGGTGTCGAAATGAAGAAGTCACAGCATCAAGTAAGGCAATTTCCGCCTATTTGTTCTCTTTATTAGTATGTAGATGTGTTCAAGCCAAACCAAAGCTTTTGGTTGTATTGGGCAGGAATAACCGCTTTCCATGAAGTAAGGAATACATTTTGCTTTCACACGATGTCTGACTTAAATGATGTGTAGAGAGCTGCGCTACGGAAAGGGTGGAAAGTAAGCTCCAACCGATCTGATGAGGTTTGTCTGTCTTGGTACCCTACATGTGGCAACCTTGCGGAAGTTCAAACATCATTGAAAATCTGAATCATATTCACTGTTCCCACAAAACAATCCTTTGTGTAATTTTACGGCGGCAGGCTAGGGACCCATTACGCCTCACTCAAGTCTTTGAGATCATTCACATATTTTGTTGGAGCTGAGAACCTGGGATTCTTTTCCATTGTACTTGATTTCTTTTGTAAAAAGGAAGTGTGATTGTGGATTGAGTTTTGCACTCTCAGTTTTGTCGAAAGGAGGCGCGATTCATTATCCACCGCACAGGTTTGCACTCATGCAATCAGTGACACTGCTGCCTATCACTATCTTGATGAATGGCATCTAGACTTGGGTATGACACCACGTGCGCTGGCTATGAGAATGTAGGGGGACACTTAGGATTCACCAAAACCAGTAGCACTGCCAAAGTAGCATGCTTTGAGCATCTCTCTAATCCTTCGATAAATGGAACTTGTCTGGGAAAATAGATTCCAGGATAAATCATTCCTTTGGGTTGGGTTCTTTGCAATGTTAGGAAGTTTGTGGCTTTATTCGTTTGTCTTACATCTTGACAGCTGAGTCCCTTTTCATCTCTGCCCTTTGCAGAAAGCGTGTATGGTCAAAGTGTAAAGATGTGTTCTTGCTATTTTGTTCTTGACCTGATAAGGTCTCCAGCTTGAAAAATTTAGCCTTTATATTGTTCGTTTGAAATATGAAACGTAGCTAGCTCATGAAAGAGATCTACCCTTCGCCTGAGTTTATTATTGCATTGATGACTGCTACTGCATTTCATCCACGGAGTCTCTCCATTTTGTTTCGGTGGCAGTCGAATTTGGCTTTCAAAGAAGCTGACGGCAATGCGGTTAATATGCTTTATAGCCTTTCATTCTTCCTAATGCGAAACCCGTGCCCATCATTTTGGCGTATGCTTGCTCTTCAGAGGAACGATATTCATTTCCTTGCTTCTGGAAAAGTGGTATTATTGAAAAAGAATTGAGCTGAATCACTTTAAAGTAACTAATTTTCATGCTTTCAAGTCTTATTCAGTTCAAGCTCTGAACCGAAGCTTTGTCAGTCTTTCTAATGAGAGCGTTCAAAAGAAGACGTTGATGTTTTTGACATATTCAACCATTTGTCCTACTTCGAAGTAAAACTTTATGCCTCTAATAAACATGACGCTATTCCTCCAAAGGTGACTAGTTTGCGGGAAGTATATCCTCCATGCATTTCTTTTTTACTCGGTTCCTTTAGTTTGTAAAGTTCCGTCACTGTAAATCCCTGAACTTTGCGAGCAAATAGTGGCCGAAGGTTAGTGTTGGCACGACTCCGCATCATCGGTTGCCGCGTAGAAAAAATGAGAGGTTAAATAAACAAGCGTGGCGTTCCATAATCCCCTATATTCTTTGGCGTTGTTCCCTCTATTCTCATCTCCATCCGTGCTGTAATATACACCGCCGAACAAATTGCGCCAGTTATTGAAGTTGTGTTCAGATAGGAAGGCATTTCAATACCTCATTGGATTTGGAGTTGCATCCCATTTCGGAACTATAGTAGGGAACAACGCATTTTATGCCGTTTTTGTATTCCTATTACTAATCTAAAAGCCTAATTTATATCATTCATTCCTTGCCATTTCACCTTCATTTCATTACTGTTAAGTCATATTCATCTTGGTTTTATGTGGTTTCAATGACAAAAAGAGGATGTGGAAAGCCTTCCATGTTTATTTAACTTGTGTGTATATATACAAGTACCAAATAAGCTTCGTACTGACAACAGCTACTGTAAACCACGAGATTGAGTTGGCTACCAAATGGTCGACGTCATTTTAACCCCTTCTGTCAGGGGTCAGCATCAGCGTGCGCTCTTCATCGGTCAGGCTAAGCGCAACCCCTCAGGGATCCGCATCATGGCTATTGACTTGGATTCTTGACCATACCACTTAGCGGAAGAAAAGTGTGGACTTTGGTGCCCCCAAAGCTGCAATGAGGAACTGAGCTCGAAATCCAAGTGTCGTGTAATCAGTGCTTTAAAGAGTCTTTCTGTGGCAAAAGTATGCTTCCTCTGTGGAATATGCAATTTGTCATCCTTTTATTCACTCGTGAAGCAGAAAACTGAGCCCTCAGGCAATTAAAGCCTGAAGTTTCAGTAAGCCATCTATTTAACTAATTTCACTTGTCGTGTTAAGTGGAATCCTTTTTCAACCACCTAATTGTTGTCCGTTTTTATCATTTATGAGAGCTGGATATTAACATTTGGGATCACGAATCTGTCCTGCTTATGTATAAAAATAAGCTACCTCCTGCTGTCAGAGGTGATTTATGCGCTCTAGTACTCGAAAAGAGCAAATCTTCTCCAGAAAGCACCCATGAACGTGGGCGTTGGGATTGGCTGGTTCCGAAGAATTTATGCAGCTAAAGCATTAGCAATGAAGTCTGATTCCATTTTCTTTTGAGTGTCTTTATTGACATTTCCAAGTGTTAACATGGTAGTTGATCGAATCAAGAGTCTACCAAACCGGCACCGGCATAACAACAACTCCCTAACTTGCTCTAGGAGGAAATGCTTTATATCAAGACAACAGGTCTTGTTTGGTCTACGTACCTCTGGTTCGATGGTTCGACTGCAGATAGGCGTCTCCTATCTGCGAAAGTACATATAAAATTATTTAGCATTCAACAAAAAATGACTTCCTGCAAAATTACTACATTTGATTATCACTGCGGCCAATGGGCTATCGGCTTTGCTCTCAGATGGTTTTACGAGTCGATCTAGGCTGTTCTTCATTGACTTGTCAGGGCTGTGAAGATGGAAGTGCAAAAAGTTGGATCAACTTCATGTAAGATCAAAAAGTCGAACCGGTATATAGTGCTCTTTCTTTGAGCGTCACTAGTGGCACTTTTTATTGTTGCTTAGTTGAAGGCTTAATCAAGAAAGTATACTCTCTTCCTTTGTCTTTAAGACCTCGACAGCAAGGAGTAAGCCGATAGTAGGGGAGCGAAGTGTGCCATTCGCACCTCCAGAACTATGCATCCGGCGTCTAAACACCTCTCCCACAATCAGCCAATTATCAGGCGAAGCGGAGGATGAAACAACCTCAGCGACAGCATTAAGATCAGGGGCAGGTGCTGGAACGGTGGTGACAGCGTCGGTGGCGGTGACGAAACAGGCAAACGGTTTTGGTTTTACCTTAGCCGATCAAGTGGGAGGGCAGCGCGTTAAGGAAGTCCTTGAACCTAAGGGTCTCCGTGTTGGTGACGTCATCCTCGAGGTCAATGGCAAGTGGGTCAAAGATGCCTCCCATTTAGAGGTCGTTCAACTTCTGAAAACTTGTCCCATTGGGAAGACGAGTAACTTCCTCATCCAAAGAGGTATCTGCCATTAACTTACACCTTCTCCACCTATATTTTCCCACCACTCACATTATTTGATTGGAGCAATTTTGCTGAAAGTTTGTTTTCGACTTAGCGTTTCGAGTTTTTTGGTCTTGATTAATGACTGTAAGTTAACTTTGACCCCTTTGTGTGAAAAAATAGTCATATTAAATGGGGATTGGCAAGTTTAGCAAGCGATATCCTTGTTAATAAAGCAAGTTGTGTGTGTCCGGTGGAACACACCATCGAGGACACTTCCCATGCTAACAATGAAACTGGTGCCCTACTACTTGGTGTCTGGACGAACTGGTCAACTCGGGCTAAATAATAGTCAGGTGTTGATCAGAAATCAGTCAAATCGCGATTCTGCCAGTAACTGTTCGCGACCCTCGTTTGAGCGTCTTCAGTGTCGGTTGCGGGATGGTGACTTTAAACAAATGGCTTTTAGATGTCAATTGAAACTTTTGGCAGATCTGAGAGAGCTGTAAAGACT